CTCAAGCGAGTCTCCTGCCTTAGCCTCCCAAGTAGCTGGGACCACAGGCACCCACCACAACGCCTGGCTATTTTTTGGTTGCAGCCATCATTGTTGTTTGGCAGGCCCGGACTAGATTCGAACCCACCACCTTAGGTGTACGTGGCTGGTGCCTTAGCCTCGTGAGCCACAGGTGCTAAGCCCAGGGGCTGCCTTAAATGCCCACACACCCGAGGCCTTGAGGCAGCAAGAGCTCTGGAGAGCCTGCTGCAGGCCTCCATCCAGCTCTGGTGGTGTGGGCAGCCCTTGGCCACACAGCAGTCTCTGCCTCCAGCTATACATGCTTCTGTCTGTGTGTCTGGTACTCTCTGCCTCTTGTAAGGGCACTCCCTAGAGTCAGGGCCACTCTAATCCTGTGTACCCTCATCTCAGTCCTCACCAAAAAAGACCCTGTTTCCTAGTTGGGCCACATTCTAAGGCTTCAGATGGACATGAGTTTGGTGGGCACTGTTTGACTCACTGGCCCTGGGTTGATCACCTTCTGCTGTCCCCTTGGGGTCAGAAATGACCCAGAAAGGCCTTCTTTGTGTGGGAGTAGATGGATAGGGGTTATGATGCACCCACAAAAAGGCTGGGGCTGATGGCTCTACTTGGAAGTGGACCCTTGTGTGCTGGGGGGTCTCAGCACATCCAGACTCTCACTGCTTCCATCTTCCTGCCCATCCTAAATGAACTGGGAAGGGAGGCTGGCAGAAGATCATGGGGTGCACCCTCGTGGATGCAGACACCCCCAGGCTGATCAGAGAGAACTTAGCCTTGGGGTGAAAAGGGTGCCCCAGGGGAGGTCCCTCAGCCCAGGGAGGGGGACAGTTGGCCTCTTCTCTGCTACTGGACTTGGGGCTCTAACCCGCACCCCACAGGGTCCGGACATTCCCACGGGACTCAGCCCTGGGCCGAGACACAGTGCGGGCGCTTATGTACTACGCTCTCAAAGTTTGGAGTGATATCACTCCACTAAACTTCCATGAGGTGGCAGGCAGTGCCGCCGACATCCAGATCGACTTCTCCAAGGCTGACCACAACGACCGCTACCCCTTCGATGGCCCTGGTGGTACTGTGGCACATGCTTTCTTCCCTGGTGACCACCACGCTGCGGGGGACACTCACTTTGACGACGATGAAGCTTGGACCTTTCGCTCCTCAGGTACGTCTGGGCAACACTGAATCCATGGGGACCCTTAGAGCCCAGGCTCCTCCAGACCCCTCAGTGCTGGAAGGAGTCAGACCAGCTTCAGGAGACTCAGAACTGCCATGGCCCTGTGTGCCCAGACCTGAACCCTGCGGCTATGGATGTGTTCATCTGCCAGGCTCCTTGGAACAGCTGATTCTGCCAGCTTAGGCAGGTCCTACCCATGAATCTGTAGGGACCCTGGGCCCTCACCGGTCTGTGGGCACCCACTCACTGAGCCAAACTTGTCTTGGCATCCAAGGGAGGGAGCAGAGGAAAGCTTGCAAGGCCATGTCTTACTGCTCATACAAGTCAGGGTCCCCGGGCTCAAGGGGTGGGAGAAGACTCAGCCCCTTGGTGAGAGAACAGGCAGAGCTCCCAGCACAGACATGGGCCTAGGAGAAACATGGGCCACACCCCAGCTCTAAAGGTGTTGTACAGACCCTAGCCTGTGGCTCTCTGTGACTATGGGTCCTGGGGAGCCCACCATAGCCCAGGAGGCCCGTGGTTTTCCACAATGTGGGAGGCCCAGCTTACCCTATGGGCCTGAGGTCAGCACCCTCATGTCCCAGAATCCACCTGACACTGTAGACCCTCTAGGACCTGGGGCCCAGGCGACAGAGCCTGAATTGTTCACACTGGGCTTGGGCAAAAATGTCATCACCCCACAAGTGGTGCAAGAGACCCCAGGAGAGCTTCATTGGAAACCTGGGAGGCAGTGAGCCTCAGAACCATGTGACCAGGGCCAGAGCCGTCATGGCACCCCTCAAAGTCCTCCATGAGAACCCTCCAAAGCACCCCATGACACTCTCAAGGCACCTCCCAAAGGCCCCCCACTGTTAACTCCCATGCCAGTCCAGCGCAGCCAAGACAGTGCTGCCCCAGCCCTGCCCTTACTCAACGGCAGGGCCTCTCTCTCCACTGGTTCACATGACCCCCTCGTCCCCAGATGCCCACGGGATGGACCTATTTGCAGTGGCTGTCCACGAGTTTGGCCATGCCCTGGGGCTGAGCCACGCAGCTGCTGCAAACTCCATCATGCGGCCGTACTACCAGGGCCCCGTAGGTGACCCACTGCGCTATGGTCTCCCCTACGAGGACAGAGTGCGCATTTGGCAGCTGTATGGTGAGTGTCCCCTGAAGCTAGATTTGGGGGCCCAGCACACTGCAGTGCCATGCGGTGGGGAGGGGAGAGACTAGTGAGTGGGTTGGGTGTGTAGAGCTGGCCCTGAGGTCCATGACGTCCCAGAGCCAAAGTCTATGTCCATCCCCCAAATATTTAGGGATGCCCTGGCACCCATTGGCATGTTCTCAGTCTCTGTAGATCAGCCTCTTCTGGGTGTTTTTGCAGGTGAGTCATCACATGGCCTTGTGTCTCTGGCCCTTCCTCTGGGTGCTGTGAGCTCAGGGCTCATCATGTAGCAGCAGGATTTTCTTTTTTTCCATCCATTCCTGGTGAACATGTGGATTTTTTCACCTGTGGCTTTTGTGGATGGCGCTATAAACGTGGGCTTAGGAGTTTTTGTTGGAAACCTATTTTCATTTCTTCTGGGCACATATACCTGAGAGGGGTTTCAAGGCCATGTTTAGACACCTGCCTTTAATTCTGGGGTTCTGGGTGCTCTGTGCACATGCTGTCTGTGGCTGTGCCCACACCTGACCTGGGGATGCTCAGCCTATAAGTGGTGGTTTGGCTCCCATCCCTGGGACTCCCAGAGGGACTGGAACGCGGGAGGGAAGTCAGGTATTCCTGGGTCCCCCACACACTCTCCTTATCTCCCACAGGTGTGCGGGAGTCTGTGTCCCCCACGGTCCAGCTGCACACTCCGGAGCCCAAGGAGCCTCCTCTGCTTCCAGAGTCCCTCGACAACCGGTCCAGCATTCCGTAAGCTGCAGGCACACTGTTACCTCACACTGTGACCTGTCTGTCCTCATCCAGAGCTTCCCGCCTTGGGCTACTTTGCACCAGACAGAGGTTTACAGTCCTGAGAAGCACACACCTATGCTGGCTGCCTGGGCCTTAAACAAGGGAAACACCTGCTTTCCCACCAGGGAGCCCAAGTAGAGACACTGAATTTCTTTTTTTTTTTTTTTTTTTGTGACAGAGTCTCACTTTATCTCCCTCAGTAGGGTGCTGTGGTGTCACAGCTCACAGCAACCTCCAACTCCTGGGCTTAGGTGATTCTCTTGCCTCAGCCTCCGGAGCTGCTGGGACTACAGGTGTCCTCCACAATACCTGCCTATTTTTTTGTTGCAGTTCGGCCGAGGCCGGGTTCAAACCTGCCACCCTCGGTATATGGGGCCAGCACCTTACCCACTGAGCCACAGGTGCCTCCCAGAGACACTGAATTTCAAACATGGTTTCTTCTCACCCCTCCTTCCTATCACCTGCTGCATAACACACAGCCCAGTGCTGTCAGACACCCCCATAGCATCAAGTTCCCAGCTTCCATGGGTCTGAAAGTCATATGGGGCGTGAGGTGGCTGGCTGCTTCTCCACAGTAGCAGAGACAGTGACACTTAGAAGACTGGGGCACCTAGACTGATACCTGTTGCATGGGCGGGCCTGACTCAAGGGCTGGGCTCAGCTGGGATGGTCAGCTCGGCCCGCATCTGGGCCCATCCATGAGGCTGGATTCCAGAGGGAATGTCTGAGAGCCAGAGGCCATGCTGTGTTAGCTGCCTCACTACCCTCTGCTCAGGCACACATGGAGGCAGCCGTGGTCTTACAGGGATTGGTTTCAGTTTTCCACAGTGCTACTCCAACTTGGTTTTTTCCTTAAAGTTACTTATTTTTGAAATGGGTGACACAAGCCAGTGACACAAGATTCAGAAGGTTCATAAAGCACCTGCTGTGAAAAGGTCAGTTTTTCCGAACAAACCCCCAGCATCGATCTCCACCCTGGGAGCAAGCATTTGTGTGCGTGTACTGCCTTCCAGACATATTCCACACTTCTGTACCAAAAGGCAGTTGCACACGTGTGTGTAATCACAGAGCCACTCCTGCCATGCATGGCTCTGCATGTGGCTTCCTCGTGGTGGCCCTTGACAGACCTCTATCTGTCTATGATAACTGGCCACCCTCACTGGAGCTGGGTACCCACACTGGCATCATGGGCCACTCTGTATTTTTAGCATCCTCTCTTAGTGGACGTTTACCTTGTCCCTGGTCTCTTGCCATTACAAATAATGATGCGGGCTGAGTGCCATGGCTCCCACCTGTAATCCTAGCACTTAGGATACTGAGGAGGGAGGATCACTTGAAGTCAATAGTTTAAGAACAGCCTGGGGAACATATAGAGAACCTGTTTCTATAAAAGTATGTATATGATGATGCTATGAACACACTTTCTACAGGGCGAAGTTATAGAACTAGAGCGGGTCCCATGTGCACATAGCCTTAGGTAGACAGTCCCCAACCAACCTCTTGGGAACCACATGAGCTTCCACTTTGCTGTTTGCTCAGAGGGCAGATCCTGGCCAGCCTGTGAGACAATGGATGTACCCTCTCATTATAACACCCCTTTCTGACTGCTATACTGCATGGAACCCCCCAGGCAAGGATGGGGCACCCTCCAAGGATGCCTGTCCCATGGTTTGGTGAAGCAGGGGTAGGGCTGCCTCCCCACCCACCCGGTCCCCTCTGTCTCACAGGCCCCGGAAGGATGCACCACACAGGTGCAGCACTCACTTTGATGCGGTGGCCCAGATCCGAGGAGAAGCTTTCTTCTTCAAAGGTAAGCAGGGATACTGCAGCCAGTGGATAGAAGGGGGTCGCACTTGCGCCAGACCTACCACCTGCAGCCTCACCTTCCCTGTGTCCCCCAGGCAAGTACTTCTGGCGGCTGAACCGAGACCGGCACCTGGTGTCCTTGCAGCCGGCACAGATGCACCGCTTCTGGCGGGGCCTGCCACTGCACCTGGACAGCGTGGACGCCGTGTACGAGCGCACCAGTGACCATAAGATCGTCTTCTTCAAAGGTGTGTGGCCTCCCCAGGACCCCTGCAGGCCTCGCTGGGCACAGCACCCAGCCTAAGTCAGCTGGAGCTGGCTGAGAGCACAGAGCACGGGGCAGCTTGGTCTTGAACCAAGTGCCACTACAGGTACACAAAGGACAAGGCAGATGAAAATCCCTGCCCTCACTCAGGCAGGGGTCCCCTGCGAAATAGTGAAAGTAACTAGGAGGTTTGTCTCAGGAGGGTCATAACAATGAGAGGTGAGGGGTAATGGGACGAGGCCCCTGTGGGGTAATGGGAGAGGACTGAGCAGAGACCAAGGGGGTGGTATTGCACACAGGGAGCTGTTGGTGCAGAGACTGGCAGCAGGGACAGTCCTGGTGAGTGCCAGGACCTCAGGCTAGAGCTACAAGGGAGCCCAGGAGGCAGGGGGATGTGCACGCAGTATTTTTGCAATTTTTCTGAGAGAGCAGGGCTGAGTGTGGGGGTGGCTAGCTCTCTCTAGGCCCCACCCCAGCCACCAGTTCCAGGCCACATCTACATGATGCAGACGTTTCTCTCACGTCATCTCTGTCAAGGGCAGGAAAAGGAGGGCTCAAGGCAGTATACAGCTGTGGATGTTTCCTGGGCCCACAAGGACAAAGGCTCACACACTGGAAACAGCGGGAATGTGTCCAAAGGCTGGAAGTCCCAGATCAATGGCTGGGCAGGTGACTCCCAGAGGCTCTGAGGGAGCTCCCAGGCCCCCACCCTCAGCCTCTGTCTCCACACCTCCTTTCCCTATACTGGTGGCAGCCATTGATTTAAGTTCGCCCTCATCTTCACTGATCATACCTGCAAAGACCGTGTGTCCAAGGTCACACTCTCAGGTTCTGGGAGCATGTGAATTTCGGGGGACACCATGCTACTCAGAGCAGTGGCTACTTCCACAAACACGAGAAGACCCTGTTTCTTTGAGAAGACAAAAAACATTCCACATGTCTGTGATGGGAACCAAGTCCTCACTCATTCACAGCCCCACCTATCCCCTACTGATGTCAGAGGCAGACACCTGGGCACTGCAGGCTTCCTGGAGCCACCATGCAGGAAGCTGCTGCCGTGAGTCTGACTCTTCCTGAAGATTTAGCCAAGGCCTTGGGGTGAGCATGGCCCATGAGGTTGCCCACAAAAGATCCCATGTAATAAAAGGGGACCAGTCTCGGCGCCTGTGGCTCAAGCGGCTAAGGCGCCAGCCACATACACCTAAGGTGGCGGGTTTGAATCCCCAGCCCGGGCCCACCAAACAACAATGATGGCTGCAACCAAAAAATGGCCAGGCATTGTGGCGGATGCCTGTGGTCCCAGCTACTTGGGAGGCTGAGGCAGGAGACTCGCTTGAGCCCAGGAGTTGGAGGTTGCTATGAGCTGTGATGCCATGGCACTCTACCCAGGGGGATAGCTTGAGGCTCTGTCTCAAAAAAATAAAATAAATAAAAGGGGACCAGGCTCAGCACCCGTAGCACAGTGGTTACGGCGCCAGCCACATACATTGAGGCTGGCAGGGTCAAATACAGCCTGGGACAGCTAACCAACAATGACAACTGCAACAAAAAATAGCCAGGTGTTGTGGCAGGCGCCTGTAGTCCCAACTACTTGGGAAGCTGAGGCAAGAGAATCGCTTTAAGCCCAAGAGTTTGAGGTTGCTGTGAGCTATGACACCACTGCACTCTACCCAGGCTATTGAGACTCTGTCTCAAAAAAAAAAAGAAAGAAAAGGGGACCAGCAGGTGTCCCAGCAAATTTCAATGTTATTCATATTTTGTGTTCACTTTGATGAAACATCAGCTTTCAAAGAAAACGTGCACAAATAAGTGAAGGTGCCGTTTTCCTAATTTTTTCCTTTCCTTCACACAAATAGTAGGCAGCCATACCCACTGCTCCACCCCCTCGCCATTTTCTCTTGCTGTACTAGGGAGATCAGTTCATATCTTTGCCTAAAGAGCCTCCTCATCTTATCAACATGTATTTTGAAAAACAAATTTTAACTTCCAGAAAAATTGCAAAAATACTGTATCATGCTCTAGGTTCAAATACCCACGTCCTCTAGGTTCACCATGCTAAGGCTCTCGCTCCTCCCTCCCTCCTTCCCTTCCTTCCTTCCTTTCTTTTCTTTCTCTCTTGAGAAGGAGTCTTGCTCTGTTGCCCAGGCTAGAGTGCAGTGGAGCTATCACAGCTCCCTGCACTCTCATCCACCTTGGCCTACCAAGTTTCTGGGACCACAGGTGGCACCCTGCCTGGCTTCCTCTGCCTTCCTTTTCCTGAGCCTGTTAAGAAAGAGTTGCAAAAGCTGGACACAGTTGTGGCACCTGTAATGTCAGGTACTTGGAGGCTGAAGCAGGAGGATCTTTTGAGCCCAGGAGGATGAGACCAGCCAGAGCAACACATTGAGACCCTATCTCTAAAGAAAAAACAAAAAAATTAAGTTAAAAAAAATTTATTTTCAGGCTCGGTGCCTGTAGTACAGTGGTTACCGCTCCAGCCACATACACAGAGGCTGGTGGGTTCGAATCCGGCTTAGGCCAGTTACGACAACAATGACAACTACAACAAAAAAGTAGCCAAGTGTTGTGGTGGGCACCTATAGTCCCAGCTACTTGGGAGGCTAAGGCAAGAGAATTGCTTAAGGGAGGCATCTGTGGCTCAGTGAGTAGGGCGCCAGCCCCATATACCGAGGGTGGCGGGTTCAAACCCAGCCCCGGCCAAATTGCAACAAAAAATAGCCGGGCGTTGTGGCGGGTGCCTATAGTCCCAGCTACTTGGGAGGCTGAGGCAGAAGAATCGCCTAAGCCCAGGAGTTGGAGGTTGCTG